AATTTGTTCTTGCATATTCAAAAGAATAAATGCATACATTAAAAAAAAGGCACAAATTTCACTAAAATGTACTAAAATTTTCTAAATACTTTGTACAAAAATAAACTAATAATAATACCATTAGTATAAAAAAATTGTTTTTTTTTTTTTTTTTTTTTTTTTTTTTTTTGTTAGCTCAGAAAGGCTATTAGTCTCGAAACGGGATTTTTCGTTGAATCACTGTAAAAGGCTGAATCACATTTCAAATTTTTGCCACCAAATATTATCACCTTGTATTATATTTAAGAAATTAAATAATGAAGAATCTGCATGAAAGTATGCCTGTTTCTCGCATTTTAGAAAAAAAAAAACAACGATACATAGAGCCGTGAAATTTTGAATAACGTACACTTTCACACGAATATGAGCACCTGGAAGACCGAATCTGGAATTCTTATTTGTTTTATTATCTATTTCATATTTTTTAAACTTTAAAGAATTTTGATTACGAAACTCAACGATTTCAAAGCTAGGAGTGGCAACACACTGTACGGGAGGGGGACATTTTTATCTCCAGCGCGCTAGAGTGCCTGCCGGAAATTCTAAAGATACGCTGTTTTTAAATATTTTGTGATATTTCTGTTGAATTGAATTTTATTCGATAAACATTTATTTATTAAAAAAGGTTACCTTAAGTGCGAATATTTATTTATTAAATAAAGGTAACGTACAAAATGTTTAAAAAAAATCTTCTTTGGGTGTAATATAAAATGTGAAAGCTTTCAGATTTTTCTTTTCCTTAATTTTATATCAGATTAAAAACCTTTTTAATACCCGAAGATATATTAGTCATTAAAGTTTCTATGATATTGGAATCAATGTAGACATTGTTGCCAACAGATGACAAATAATGTCTTTCATTTATTTTTAAATTCTGTATGTATAATTTTCAAACTAAAAATTCTTAGATATATTTCGCGAAATAAATATAGCTAAGTAATATTCTGATAAAATATCAGGCTATTCATTCTGAGTAGTGGATAATAGCTGATTTGTTTTTAAATAAATATATTAAAAATATGTTTAAAATAAATTTACTCATGAGAAAATTTTTATCATTTAAATGCTAGAGATCATTGAATGATGCGAGACATTAGAAGAAATAAGCGTGAATATTTCAATATATTTATTAATTTTTTACTGTAAGTTCTTAAAATAGCGCATCGCAGAAAATATTTCGTCTGAAAATTAATATGCAAATTCTTTCACATGTAGCTATTATATAATGCGATCTACAAGGCGTTAATTTCACGGTAAACATCAAGTGACAAATTTCAAAGATGCCTTCAAGTTGGTTATGTGTAGCAATAGCAGTTTAGTGAATTTTTTATATAGGGATTATACAGCGATGATAATATTGTTGATGGTTTCATTTTGATTTACACGAAGCAAGATTCCAATACTTAAATCTTTACCACTCTTCGAAAACTGCCTTCTCCATTGGTCCAATGTACATCTCCAATCAGCGATCTGGACAGCTAAGGGCAACGCCTGGCTCGTGACGAATCCTTAGCCAATCGGAGAGTTGTGAGAAGATTGCGTCATGCATCGCCCATGCGCTTGACCGCGAGAGAACGAATGTCGAACTTATATTTGGAGTTTTATCGCCTTACTTGGCGTCAAGAAAATGCTCTCAAACTATGAAACATGTCGAACGTACCAAATATACAGCAAGTTCATGATGTTATGTAATGTTTTTTAAATAATTTTTGCTATTCTTTCTTCACCGATGTACTTTTTAAAAACCTGCGAAAGGTTCAACTTGAAAGTTAACGCATTACAAACAATGCATAAAGTTGGCAACTAAAAAATATTAGATTCTGAACTGAACTTTTAAAAGCTAACAAAAGTAAACTTTCGGAAAGTATTTTAGTGATTAAAATATTCTAAAGCTATTTTAAATGCTTTCGTCTTTCGTTAAAAATATTAAATCTCAAAATTAATTTAATTATCTTGCTTTTGAGCTACAAACAGTGAAAACTGCTCTCCACATAAAACATGGAAATAATTTTTACAGGCAAACTATGGTTACTTAAACACTGCGGTAATTAAAAAAATAAGCTGAATTTTATGACAATAAATAAATTTTTACAGCAAAGTTTCTCTTTCTCTTGCCAAATCTAGAATTCATTAGCATTCATCAAAGAGCATTTTGCTCTCATTCTAAGAAATGTTTCTCTGAAAACGAAGCACATGCACGTAAATTTTAATGTTAACATGACATAAAAACTGATCTAAAAGAAATGTTCTTTTTTTATATTATATGGCGTATTATTTCTATAACTTTAACAGCTAATTAATGGGCTAATATAAATGACCTAATCCTAATTTCTAACACTTTATTTAAAATGAAACGTTATTCTACATAAATAAATAAATTTAAAAAAAAAAAAAAAAACTTAACTTACTTTAATATGAAAGTATAGTATTTAAAGCACTATGCCTTCCTTTCTTCTTCTTTTAAACAGATTATATCCTTTTATCCATTTCCAAACACAAAACTCCATTTAGGTTCGCATTTTTCTTATATTATTTTATATTTATTGTTATTTGTTTATATCTTTCTTATACTTCTATGAATGTGCATTTACAGATAGAAAAGAAATAAGAACTAAATAAATTAATTACAGTATTTAGTAAGTTAAGCGTAAAATAGAAGTTTAACAAGTTTTAACAATTTTGTCAATACCAGAACATACATTGTAGATGACAAACATTCTCAAATGAATATTACAATTTACATTTACTTATTAAAATTTTGAGATTTGGCAGCTAACAGTTTAAGGTTGGTACAGAAATAAATTAAGTGTATACTTTTGTTTACAATTGTTAATTTACGACCAATTTTAACACGGTGTGCAAAAATAAACATTTTCAACATATTTTAGTTCTTTATTTTTACAAAGGCAGATAAAGATACATGTGAAGTTTATGGCGTTTATTGCTTAAGAGACGGCAGATTTTAGAATTCGTTTAAAAAATTTCGTTCCGGAAATTTTTCATTTGAAGATGACCAGTGTTCTCTCTTATATCCTTACCCTCCTCCCCGAAAAAATAATTTAATCGAATCGTCATATAACTGCGCGAGAGATTGTATAAATGTTAAATGTACTACAGACAACAACTGAAAATCACATAAGACATTTTGGACTCGTTAAGAAGTAATAACGATGACCTTAAATCGCACTTAGTTGAGTTTTTTGCTGATAAAGACCAGAATTTCGGAGAGGGCAGAATAATGACGTAACCAGAAAGATGGGAAAAGGCTATCCAACAGAATGAAAGATATTTGACTGATCAAAATTCATTTTTATAGAAAAAAATTGAGTTTTATTACACGCTAAAAGAACGAAATTACTTTCTTGCCAACCCGATAATACGCATGTCAACTGGAAAATGTGTTCATCCTTTAATTTTTCTAGATAAAGAATTTCTCGAATTCTTTCCTGGAAACAATATTTTTCTGAGATAAGCTTCAGAAGGAATAATCATTATAGAATTAAACCATTTTAAACGAAAATCATGTACGACAGAGACTTGTACTCACATCTAGAAATATGAAGTTACTTTTGCAAAAATGAACATAGCATAATAATGAATGAAACAGAATAAAAGAAAAAAATGAACGTAGAATATTACATAGCGATCTAGCACTATCTGCCACAGAAAAATACATACGTAGAATTCGCGCAAATCTTTTAATAAAATTCTATTACTTTCAGAGTTTTGTTCAAAATCTGTGCCAGTTTAAATTTGCTTTTTTTGGTTGGTTTGGAATTTCGTCTTTCGCATTTACATAACACACAGCTTATGTCATGGAAGTCCCATACATCCGTCCTATGTAATTAATCCGTTCGTAATTAATGACGAATTAATAATATTTCGTATTTTTTAAAGTTTATTTCGCTAAAGGAATACCGTAGACAGGATGCCTGTGGTTTGTCTGTTGAAAAAAATTCATTCATTTTCAAATCATAAGCGAATAGATGTTGAGTTTTCCTTCCCTTGATATTAATAAAAAATTCTTAACTTTTTTCGTTTTGGAAAATATATATATATATATATAGTATGGTTCAAATTCAAAGTTAAGAATTAGTTATTCTTTAAAATTTTTTTGATCTCTTCTCAGCGAAGCTCACCAGCGGCCGAGCGGTAAATTCGCTGAACACTGGTAACTCGGTCCGCGGTTTGAATCTCGGCGAACGGGTGGCTTTTCGTGGTTTTTCCCATGAGTAACGTGCATACGAACCAGTTTCCCTTACAAAGTCCTCCACGAAGGCATCCCTCCCCTGGGCAGATAGCCCTCGAGTGCTTTGCCTTAATTAAATAAAGCAAACCTCTTCTCTGTAGATACGTGAAATTTTTACTGGGAGAAGATTTATACAGATTAGAGACGTATAAATTTATGAAGTAGGTTAAGCAAAGCTGCTTTTGTCTTTACATTTTTAAGCCGGGAAAAATTCTTCAAATGGGCGTTTCTGTATATTGTAATAAATTTAACATCAAATAAATGAGTAAGAAGATAATTCTATTACATAAGCGACTTTTATTTGTGATTATTTTTATCACTGAAAATTCAAATAGCATCAAAATTTGCAATTCCATGGAAAAAAATTATTTGTAACGCACTTACAATTTTACGTGACCATTATGTCTAAATAAAATTTAACAAAATATAGACCATTTTTAAAAAAATTATAATATACTTTGATATGAAATTAAACATACATTGTACATGTATATAAATAAAGTTCAGAGTCTTATATTGCGATAAAAGTGAATGATGATTTTAGGAAGTTATTTGGCGCTATTAGGAAAAAAAGAGCATCGCCAAAATCGCCAATTCCGACAAACCCCACTGCTATACAAATCTGACAAAATGTTTGCCTTGATGGTTCATTGAGGAAAAAACGAAGATACATTCCCGAAACGACAATTCCAATTTTACCACCACTCGGACGGGGTGGGTCACAGGGGGCGCTACAAGACGAGTCGCGGGTACTGGAAGAGAAGGGGAGAGGACTGCGAGGGATACGAGCAAGCGACACCCCCTCATGTTCTAAGCAGTTTTAGCATTCTCCACTTTGTTCCGTTTCAGAATGCCAGGGCTACCGCAGAGAAGGTATCCACCTGCGAACACATGGACACCTCTATTTTTAAAGCTGTGAATACATTTGTAGCCACATGATCACATGCCGTCATTGCGTAGTTTTTTAAAAAAACGGAGGCAGAAAAATATTTGCATTAAATATAGTTAGTAAAGTTTTGTTAACTTTTGAAAACATTATCACCGCATATTGCTTAGTAAAAACAGTTGATGTTCGTGTTAAACTATGTAGAAGTTGCTTTTTAAAAAGCTGAAAATGGCTTGTTCGGAGATTTTGCAGGAGGTAAGTTTATGGTAAAAATTCTGCTTCCTTGCTGTCATGGAAACACATTAGTATGCAGTTAGTAATTGCAGAAACAAGTAAGTGAACTTTGGTTTACATGTTATGCAATTCAATATTTCCAAAGAGGCAATTCTAATTTCTTTTTGCAAAAATATTAGATAAAGACTGAGGCAATACTGATTGACAAACTTGTTTTAAAACGAGATTTCGATTTTGTTCTGTCAAATGAAAAATACTCATTCAAGACAAAAATTGACGTATTTGTGGTAACTAAAACAATTCTCTCTGAATTTTGTGTTATTTTCGTACCAAAGATAAGACTGTAGATTTTAATTTTTAGAATGGAATTATCAATTTATAAAAATATCAGAAACGTAAGTAAGGAAACTATCTTCTATTATTATGTAATATAGATAATTATAAAACTGGCGGTAAAACGTTATTAATAGCCAAAATAGTTTAGATATTCGTTTGTTTATTTATTAGGAAACACAATTTATTTTAATTAGTATTTTTACTTTTCAATCATAAAAGAATTTTTCCCAGCTATAATGTTGTTGATTTATTAAGCAATGTGTGGAAAATTTTTTGAAGTATATTAATTGTAGAAAATGTAAAGTATCATCAGAGTAGAAACGTTAAATAAAAGAGTATTATATCACATGCCAATAGGTTTATAAGTAGTAAAAGGGTTAGTAAATTATTAATGAATTATTTTCTGGAAAATACTTGGAATAGTTTTTAACGCAAGAAATTCAGTTTTCTTTTCAATAGCTTGAATTTAATTTGAAAGGAAACAGTAATAGACAATTTTGTGCTCATTGAATGTTCTATCACTTTTATAAATGTTCACGAATTAGTTACAACTTTTGACGTGAACTTCAGTCACCGAAAAAGTTACCTTGTCAAAATATTCCCCACACTATAAACAGAAAAAAAAATATTTCTCAGGTAAATGCTGACTATTAACGCATATTTGTGCATCTATATATCAAAATTATTAATCATATATAAAATTATTTCATTAATGCAATAAAAGATAAGTAGTCATTATAAAATCTCACAAGCTGAAGATTCACGATTGAGAAAATATTGACCTCTAATATCAGTTATCAATTATGAATACTAGCAATTAGCTGCAACTGAAATAAAATCACTTCTTACATAGAAATGAAGTCATGGATACTAAACGCTAGGAAAGCAACAAACTTGATCAATAACTTGTGCGATAAAAGAGCATAACAAATTTATTTCAGTTTAAAAAAAATGACATAATACCTGACCTTTTGATGTATATTTATTAAAGAAGCATAATAATAGATAATGTTCTTCCTTCTTAAAAACCACCTTGCAAGAATTTACACTTCCTACTTTCCGTAAATGGAATATGTATGTAACATTTAAGAAATTAACACGTAATTATGCCACGTAAATGAATTCTACACGTTGAGATGTATGTTGAATGGCAAATTCTTAATATACATATATTGATACTGAGAGTTGAAATTTTAATCTCTGAATCTAGAAATAGTACCCAGATTTTACAAAAGCATCCAGAAATAGGAAGGTGACTTGTCCAATCAATTTAATTTTTCACTATAAAATATACCTTTAGTTGAACTCTGAAGAACAATTATCAATATATCAGCATTTCAATGATAATGAACTGCTAAGTTTAAAGACTAGACCCCATGGAACTCGGAATCAGCTGTTAAAACTTTGATTTCGATGTAGAAACAAGAATTATTTAACTTGGAAACAGATTCATCGATGAACAGTCAAAAATTAAATAAGAAAGGACGATTTCATATATTCTGAGGTTTTAATTTTAATAGATTATCGGGAGAAGACTAAATGTAATATTCGAAATATCTGATTTTTCAGAAAACAGCGAACCGCTTTTTATAAAAGAACACTGAAATGAATTACAATCATTATAAGCAAATGTCATCTATGATCTCTGTTAACCATTTGCTCATGGGCAAGACGTAATGGACAGCAGCTAGAGAAACTTAGATGGTGGCCCCAACTTCAAGGGCCCAGTTCATGGTGGATACTGGAGACTTGGTGAAACAGCTGGTCAGGGGGCACGTGCCACCGCTCTCTGCCAGGGCCAAGGACTTTTCCATCGATTCCCTGATCTCTCGTTCCCAGATGCCGTTCAGTGACGACAGCTGCAACGAAAGTTGTTGCTCCGAGGAGCCCCTGATGTCGCCAGTCCCTGAAGAACCTCTTCTCTCTCCCCTTGGTAAGTACTTTTCTTATAATTTGGTGTTTTCATCTTGCATAACAGTTCACATTGTAAAGCTAAATTCCTAAAATTATCGCTGCGCTAAACGACTGCCCTTTGAATTTTATTCCTAATATTTAGTTATAAATAAGTAAATAAAAAATTTTAATCATCGTTTTAGAATATTGATTTATTTTTATATGTATTTTAGCAAAAACTCCTACACGAAATTGCTGTTTTCGAGCAAAAACTAAATTTTAAAATAAGGAAAAGTTTCCCGAAAGTTGTTACGTTTTTGAAAATGATGTCTTGAAATAAAAGCTAAAAGCATAATAATCAGCAAACTAAGAAGCATGCAAAAAATCAATTAACTTTTCGACTTTGTCTGAGATTGCTCCAACTGAAAACATAATTTATTGATCACTAATGAATTGTTATTACTTTCTCATTTATCAATTTAATTTTTGATTGCAACATTAATTCTTTTTGCATGAACTCACGTAGTGGAATTTAAGTGGCAATTTGATAAGGTGCGGAACACTAGATTTGTAATAATAAAATCTATAGAGAGAAAATTCAGTTTTAATAAGAAGGAAAAGTAGGGACGCTTAGTTTTATTTATAAAAATAAGGAAGAAGAAACTAAGTTTTATTTTATAAGACGTTGAATTTTATTAAAAAAATTTTCTAGCCTTACATTTTCCCCTTTTCTATTGTTGTGACAGTCTGCAAGAATTATCTTGAAAAGGAAACTGTTTTATAATTAAATCTACAACGAAACTTATTACCTTCAATGAAAAATAGCATTGAAGAGAGAAAATTAACAAGGTTTTTATTCACACATTTCTTGTAAATTTAATATTCTCGTTTGCTCTCTTTCTCTCTATATATATGTATATCTATATATAACAGCAGCAGAGCAATTTTATTCTCTCACTAGTTTTCTAAATTTGACAAAAGAGAAATAAGTTTTCCTTCTTCAATGCTTGCTCATTAGCAGTATAATACTGAAGGTACATAAAAAGTATGCTAAAAAGATTCTAAGATAGTTTGAGGATTTTTAATAAATGCAACTATAAAATACTTTATTCCTTTGAATATTTTCGGTCTAATAAAAATATTTTGTATATAGCATAAATTTATTAAATAATTATTAATCCTTGACTTTTTCTACCTATTCAGCAAACACACAATCATAATATTGCTTTAAACCAATATATTATAAAATAAGAAAATAAGAGTTGTTTTTTAAAAGCAACACTTTAATCTTAATCTTGCTCAGAAATTATTTAGTGTTTGTTCCCTAATATTTAGCGCAAAGTGCAAGAAAATTAAAGTCTTTTCTTTTATTTGCTTTTTCTTTCGGTAGCATAATCTTATAAGAAATATTGCAATAATACAGTAGTAGCACAGTTTCTAAAAATTAAATTTATTTAATAAACTAATAGCTCAATTTCTAAAAATTCAGTTTATTTTCTAAACAAATATGTTCCTAACCTAATGATATAAAACAAATATGTTTCAAACAAATATGTTCCTAACCGAAAACCTCGAATGGTCTTCATGGTATGGTAGCTGTCAGCTATTTATTTCTAATTGCATATACTGGTGGCCTTGGACTTTCGCACATAGCTGGTTCCTGAAAATGTGTGTGAATATTGAATGTTCGAAAGTAACGTGATTAAAAAAAAGCGAGAAGAAAAATATACAAATCTGAAAGGTTTCGGATTTAAACGTCGCCCAAACGGGTTTAAAGGTTTTTTACGTTCTCGCTGAGCTCGCAGTCTACCAGTCTGTTTTTGTCTTCCAGTCTACTAGTCTGCTTTCACACCTGTTAACCTTTTAGCCGAAAGGGTGTTAACCCAGAAAAGCTATTAATTTCGTTTTGGCATTTGCGTTGAAACGTTAAATGTCAGTTCACTTTTCAAATTATGTGTTATATTAATTATTCAAATTATTGCCCTGTGTTATATTTAAAGAAATTAAATAATGAAGAATCTGCATAATTTAAAACAACGGTACCTAGAGCCATCAAGTTTTGAATGACGTAATCCTCCATCGAATATGGGCATCTGGAAGCCCACATTTGGAATTTGTTTTTGTTACCTATTTCGTATTTTGTAAAAATTTAATGAATTTTTGATTAAGAAATTCAACGATTTCAAAGCAAGCAATGGCAACACTGTACGGATTAAAAAAAAATATATATATATATCTTTAGCGCGCGAGACTGTATCGGAAATTCTAAAGATGGGCTGTTTTAAATATTTTGCGATATTGCTGTTGAACTGAATTTTATGGTTTAATTGCTAGGAACATGATATTTAATAAATAAAGGTAACATCCAAAACGGTAACAAAAAGCCCCTTTGGGTGTAATATAAAATCTAAAAGCTTTCAGTTTTTTTTTTTTTTTTTTTGTCTTTATAGTTTTATTATGAAGCATCATTTACTTCCCAATTACGCTACATGCAATTCAACAGCAGAGTCACGGAAATTTTAAAAGCAACATATGTTTAGAATTCCTAATGCAGTATTAAATGTTGCCAGACATTTTTCTGTTCTTTTTCCTCTTTTCTCAGTTCATTGTGTCAATGTTCAATTTTCTCACTTAACATAGCTTACAAAACTTTTCCTTTGTCTTTTTAGTATTAACATTTTGTATGTTAACCTTATTTATTAAACATCACGCCCTTGGAGCTCACGCCGCATAAAATTCAATTCGACAGTCAAATCACAAAATATTTAAAAACCGTATATTCTCATAATTTTCGACAGACAGTCTCGCAGGCTGGAGATGGAAATATTTTATTCCGTACAGTGTTGCTAGTGCTGACTTTGAAATCGTTGAGTTTGTTAATAAAAATTCCTTAAAGTTTAACAAAATATGAACAGATAATAAAAGAAATTCGGGCTTTCTATGTGTGCATGTTGGGGTAGAGGACTACTTAATTCAAAATTTAATGGCTGTAGGTGCCGTCAGTTTTTTCCCAATGCGAGAAACACACATGCATTTATGAAGATTATTATTCAATGTCTTTAAATGTAATACAGGGCAATAATATTTGATACTGTGTGTGTGTGTGATTATGGCAAAGCCTCGAGGGCTATCTCTCTAAGGGGGGAAGCCTTCATGGAGGACTTTCGAAGGAAGACTGGCTCGTATACACGTTACACATGGGGAAAACCACGGAAAGCGCCCATGCAGACAGCCCGTTCGCGGGATTCGAACCTCGAATCGAACTACCAGTGTTCAGCGACTTTACCGCTCGGCCACTGGTGGGCCCGCAATAATATTAGAAGTGATACAGTGTTTTATAGTGATTCAGCGCAAAAGCCCGTTTCGACACAAATAGCCCATTTGGGCTAACGCCCTTTTGGAGCGAAGAATAAAGCATTTAAAATTGTATTTAAAATATTTATTTATCAATAATGTTTTTTTTTATTTATGAATATACACATTGAGTTTACGAGGTGTGTTTAAGCGCTTTCAGGTGCTTTCTTTATAAACTTGTCTAGAGTTAGTCGAATATTACTCCCCCCCCCTTGGTTAAAGAGCTCTGCAACATGCTGTGTTTATCACAATTGCTGTACGTTCTCCATCGGGATCACACTCTTCCATGATCGTGGAAAATTTATCAAGATGCATGAAGATTTCATTCATAATTTTGATTGTCACTCTTGGTGACATTTTCATCTCCTTTTACCTCACTTTCACTATATATTTCATTCAACTTTTGTTGCTCAATTAAATGTTTATCTGGTGGAGGTACCGAGTGAGTTTCAATCAGCTCTTTAAGATCTTCGTTGCTGACGTCCAGTTGAGTTTAGTGATTAAGATAACTATTTCATATGCGATAATTTTCAAAGTTTCTCCAGAATTTATAAAATCACTCCTCATTTTTCATTTTATCTCCAAATGTCTGGAAAAAAATCCTCTGTCTTCCTCTTTCAGTGACCTGGCAATTTTTACTCGATAAACTACCATTGGTTTCAGTTTTAAATCACAGTTTTTCCAATATCGATAAAAATTTTTAAAAAATTGAATTTTTTAAAATGTGTGGGGCGGAGAATTCTGTGAAAATGGAGGGCCGCCCGTACGTCGTGCACTGTGGAAGTTTCGAAAATTTTATTGCAAATTACTTTCTAAATAGTTAACTTCCTTTATTCAATTCCTATTTTTATTAAAAAGAACTGAAATATGTTTTTCGTTTTATTGTTTTTAAAAGTAACATCTTGAATTTTGAAAATTTTTGCTGTAAAAAATTTAAGCTACTTGCGCGAGGAGCACTCGAGGGCTATATGCCTGATTGGAGGGCCAACTTCGTGAAGGACTTTTGAAAGGAAACTGGTTCCTTTTCACGCTACACAGGGTGAAAACGAAGGAATCTTCCATATCCACCTGCTTGCCGGGATTCGAACCCGGATAGTATAACTAGTGTTCAGCAATTTTTCCGCTCGGCGACTCGTCGGTAGGCTAAAAGATTCAAATAAAGTGCATTTTATAGAAAGGCACCACATAGTCCAATTCCGCTGATTCAGTAGTTGCAGTTCTATCTACACTCCATATCTGCTGATTCTTTATCTGCGGTTCGGAGCAGCCGAAAATGGAAAAAGTGCTTTAAGTTTTGTAAGTTGTACGCTTCGAGATGGGATCAAAGTGATGGTAATAGGTAATATAACTGAAATGTAGCATTTCATACAACCCCAACATTGTACTACTTTCACTCTTTGGTACAACGTTTGGGACTTTTTGCAGGTTCTCAAAATTGAGTCTTATATGAAGTTCTCCAGTAAAAACGAGCAAAATCTGAGTTCGCGTGCCGACTAGATAGTCATAAATATGTTGACAGGTAATCTCGGATCAAACAGTATTTTGACTTCCAGACTCTTACTTCTTTTTTTTCCTTCTACTTTTGCTTCAAGTATTCACCTAACTCTCCCTAGAAGATCCCAAACGTGCGCTACGATTGCTTGGAAGCTTCTAGTGTACAATAAGTGCTAGAAAGATAGAATAATT